CTTAGAATTCAGAGCCATAAAAAGCAGACTTTTTTCATTATCTGTGAATTTGCTTGCTCGGAAAAAAATAACCTAATCCCTAAGCTAACTTTAACTCAACGCATTTCATAAATTACAGATGTTATTATAAAAAATTGCACCGATATACCGATATTTTATTTTCGATATATCGAAATCAATACCAATATCAACTAAATATATTGATACCATATTTATCGGTACTTTTTGACACTTACCGCGGTCCTAAGCGTGGTCCTTCGCCAATCGATCTGGCACATTCGTGTATACCATATACCATATACCATGACATAGCTGCAGTATGGCTCTACCACGTAGAAATGTTTTTAGGTTAGGAAACCAGGAAATTAAGAAGTAGATCGGTGTATAGAGTGGAAAAACGTAGTTAGGTTGGTTTCAGGTTTGTGTTGTTTTATATCCGTTTGAGCAGACACAACGTAGCAATAATAAAGCTGAAGTGTGACTCTAGCACATAGATTAAGGATGTTCTATAAGTTGAACCGTCCGCACCATGATCAGCTTAGGTCGTTTATCTACCGTGTAATGGCGGTGTAAGCATTTTTACTGCCCCATATTGTCCCATGACTGTCGTTAGAGGCGAAAGAGAGAAACAACCCAGAAGGTGGGCAGCAGTCAATCTACCCGCCAATCTTGGCGTCTACGACAGATAACCCTTCTTATGAAGAGGATGGGACTGATAGGCTGTAATGAATGGGTTTACGACTGAATATATGGAACAAACTTGTGTCTGGAGTCTTTGTTAAGCAAAGTCTTCCGCACGGAATGCTTTTTCACGTTTAAAAACATTTCGATGTTTTTTTCAATAGTATAGGGTGACAAACGAGCACACAGTCCACCTGATGGTAAGTGGTTGTTGTGGCCCACAGACATCTACATCTATCCTCGATTACGGATCAAAATGCAAACGCGTTGTCACCCGTGAGGATTAAGATGGAATGCCTCGTTTCCAGTAAAAAGGGGTCTCCGGTTCTCTACACTCACGATATGAAACACAGCAACATTAAGCTACTATTTTACGCTGGTATTCTGTGAGAGCGTGGTCTGGTCCCGGTCAAGCCGACCCAGTATGGCTCTACCACCGAGTATCATAAGTGATGTAAACTTTTTATTCGTTGGATAACATTTAAGATGCAATTGTCTTTTTTTAAACATCCGTAAAATCTTTTAATGCATATTTTTGGCGTAAATGTAAAAAATAAATATGTAAATCATTTATTATAAATTCTCTAAACGCAATCTACACCTAGATGTTTTGCGTGTTAAATTAAAAGAAAACATTATTTTACCGATCAATAAATGACGATATAATATATATTTAAAAATACCTTACTCAAATTCCTTAGTATTGAGGAACAACTTTGCCTTACGAATGCGGCTCTAAGCTTACATAGTCCAGAATAATCAGTGTTGACAATCTTTAAATTATGCATAAATATCTGCAGGTATATCTGAGATTATTATTACGCACATTCCAAATATGTGTTATACATATATGGTAATTAGGAATAAATAATTAATTATTCCTAATAAATAACTAACACAATAGAGGATAGTTCCGTTAGTAGTGGGCAATATTTTGCTTGCAACCAACTAACGTGGGCCTGAGCGCGTGCACTGGACCGGAAACTGTGACGCAAGATTTCAATCAAATGAAAACATTCGGACAAAAGATATTGAACAAAAAACGAGGCGACGGACGCCTGTGCAACAACACCTTGACTGGCAACGGCCTTGACTCCAGTGAAAACAGCTGTTTTGCTGATCGAGTCTCATCTATCAAAAGAAAACTGAATGCGCCAACCGATATGCATAAATAGTGTTTGTGATTGCAACAGCCTGAAATTAATCTCTATGAAAGTGGATGGATATAAGAGTAGTGGGAGGCCTAAGAAAAGATGGAGACTGTGTCAGGAATGATATTATGCGTAAGAAAGAAGTTTATGAGGAAATGACGGCTAGTAGACGAGAATGGAAGAGGAAGATATGCTGTACCTGTAACTCCAAATAACTTGAGTTAAGGGCAGGAAGAAGAATTACAGCCTTACATAATACAATAAACACGTTATATATACACCACATAATATAATCATATTCAGTACATGAACCGTACAACAATAGCCCCGCGCATTCGCTGATATTACTAATACATATAAACTACGCGCACAGTATGCGGCTAAAGTTGGCTCAAACCATGCGCACTAGGGATGTACAACCGCTTTCTCATATTTGCATAAAAACAATGGATCTGTGACTCAATAAAAATATCGGATGCACTTTAGAACTACCTTGCCTGGCGTGAAATCTACTCTTTTCTTTCCACGGCCAAAGTAGTGAAATACAATATTTGTTATAATTAACTAATCTGCTTTTAACCAGATTAATATAATAGGTAACAGATTAATATAATAATTCAATTTTGAAATTTATTTTATTTTAAAACAATGAAATTCTTTTTTTTTATTAGTCATTTGATAATTGATTTCATCGCATTTGAATATTTTTCGTCATTATGGATACGTTAAAAATTCGAGTAATTATGGAATATGAGTACCAACGTGGCAGCAACGTAGCTCAAGCGGCACGCAACATCAACGACGTTTACGGAGCGAATACTACAAAGGAACGCACCACCTGTTATTGGTTTTGACCAGAAAAATGAATCCTGTGGTATATATATAAAATACCAAATACAAGGGTTTCGATCTCTTACATTTATTTAAAAAAATGCGTTCCCCCGAAGGGACGCTAACTTGGGAACTGGACCGTAGCCCACAGCTTGACTAATGGGTACCCCACGAACTTAATGATCGCCAGCGCGAAGTACGCATCGAGACGTGCCTAGCACTCCGCAATAGGCACACAAACGAAAAATTTTGAACCGCATTATTACTTGCGACGAAAAATTGATTCTGTTTGACAATCGCAAGCGTTGATCAAGTTGGTTGGATCCTGGTTCATCACCTAAACAATGCCCTTAACGAAAACTTACCCCCAGAAAAGTAATGTACACTGATTGGTGGTCTAGCAGCGGTGTGTTTCATCACATCTGCTTACCAAACGCGATGAGCATTACTGCAGATGTGTATTTACTATTAAGAACTGAAAACAGTGATGAAGAAGCTCGCACGTCTCCAACCAACTTTGGTCAATCGGTTGTTCCCGCTGCTCCTTCACGACAACGCTCGACCTCATACTGCACAATAAACAGTATCCAAGTTACAATAGCTGGGGTTAGAAGCTCTCCATCATCCGTCGTACACACCACACAGTTGTCTGGAAGAAGATTGATACCGGATGAAAAGAAAAGTCGAATAGTACATGCAGAATAATATTAAATCATTCACAATAGGAGTAAAGTTTGTAACTGCCATTTTAATGGCATTTTGAATTTAAATTAAACCTGCATTCTCCAAGATTTTTAATTAAAACATTTTACACAAAACTACGATTTACTATATTTTCTTTTTTCAGTAAAATTTTACGCAATCGGGTTTATTTTGTTATAACTAGAGCTTGTTGATTTAATTGTTTCCGTAGTGAAAACTTCAGCATTCTGTCATGAATGGATATTTAATTCGCCTGTAATATTGATTCATTTGTAATAAATTGATAAAACTTAAAACCTCGAACGAGTGCGTTGAAGCTTACCTTGTCTTGATGAATAGGTACAGAAATGAAGCGAATTCGGCCAGAACCATGTTGTGTGATGGAAAGTGAATTCCCAACATAGATTACAAGCAAAAAACGCAATGCCTAAACCTTGGCCGAATACCGGAACAATTCGAGGCTCACCCATAGAAAAGTAATAATAACTATTTTGTGGACACTTCATGAACTAATTCACCTAAGTAATAACAGCAGATATCTATTGTAATTTCTAACAATAAGGGCAAATCTCTCAGAGAAACTTTTATACGTAGTAGAATCATGCTGCAACTATACTATGGTTGTAGCAGGAATGGGGCGGTTCGACCAGGATGGAAACATGCTCTCACAGAATACCAGCGTAAATTAGTAGCTTAATACTGTTGTGTTTTATATGGTGGTATAGTGTAGATAATCGGATAATCTTTTTAAAGGAAATGACGCTTTCCATTTCATTCCTCAGGCGTGACAAGCACATCTGCATTTGATTCTTAATCGAAGATAAATGAAGGTAACTGCCACAGCATCCACTTAGGTACCACCAGGTGGACTGTGTGGTCGTTTGTCACCCTTAATCTATTAAAAAATTAAGATACCACCCCTAATCGTCAATCGATCTTCGCCATTATTGCTTTATGATAACGAAGGCCTCACATTACTCGACAACCCATTTTAACATTACAAGACCATAAGTTTGAAGTCCTCATCCGTATTTGCCAAGTCTAGCCCCAACAGGTAACCATTCTATACGCAATTTGGACAATTGAATGCAAGAAAAAAAAATATTCTCATGAAGCAGTACAAATTCTGTCATACACCATCAGAATCCAGATCCCCAGAGTTCTATCGCAAAAGGCATTAGTGATCATCCCTCGTGATACCAGACAAAGATAACGAGAATGTGTACCTACATCGATTAAATCAAGTATTTTATCTTTGCTTAAAAAAGATGTTTTAATTTTTCACAATAAAACAACAATTTCATACTTTTATAAGTTTAATATATACCACATTAAAATACAAACACAGGTCATAATATTGAAAAAAAAATCATATTGTATCTTTTGTATGAACAATAATTTCAGATGTTACAAAAATACTAAGCTTTAGAAGTATAATTAACTTATTTGGTCAAATAAATTCAATTAAAACAAATCCAGGTCACTCGCGTGTTTCTTTGACCGCTTTTTTTAGTTTTACCCTGACATTAAATAACAGGCTGTCTGTATTATTGCCAATACTATATAAGCTGCGAGAAAATAGTAACAGGCATCATTTAGCAATCTTTGGTCAATACAATCAGGAAACAAGTGAAAATGAGAAGTGTTTTCTTCGTTTGTTTAATGGCTACAATAGCCCTTGTTTATACAAGAGAAGTGCGTTACAAAAGGAATGCTGACTTAGAAGCTGCTGCATCACAACATTGGGAGAAAGGCGGAGGCGGCGAACACCATGGTGATCACTTTGGCGAACATGGCGGACACGACGAGAAAGGTTACAAGGGATACCACGAACATGAACATGGAAAGAAAGGCCATTCGGATCACGAAGGACATAAAGGACACTATGACGAGCATGGCGGACACGAAAAACACCATCATCACGATGATGGCTACTACGACGAGCACAATCACGAGGAAAAGGGAGAAAAGGGTTACGGCTTCGAAGAGAAGGGACACTTCCATAAAGGCCACTCTACTAAGGGACACCACGGCATTCACAAAATAGATGAGTTCAAGAAGGATAAACATTTCCACGACAAGCACGGTGAATCTGGCTTCGAAGAAGGCTATGGTGGTCATCATCATGAAGGTGGATACACTGAAGGAGGTCATTTCCATAAAGGACACAAAGACGGAGGCTTCCACGAACATGAGCACGGAGAAAAAGGACACCACGAAAAAGGAGGATACCACCACGACCATAAAGGAAATAGTGACGAAGGTGGCCACCATGAACATTGGGGACACAATGAAGATCACGGCAGCAAAGGGGGACACGAAGAGCACAAAGATTGGGACTGGAAAGGTCACAAATGAAGAAAAGGTTAAAAAACGAGCAATGTAGAAATTGTTTTTGTTAATTATTTTGTGATACAGATTTAATTAAATATATTCAAATTATTATATATTTTTATGATATTACTGCTTTTAATATATCACAGTGAGTACATTTCGGTGTATAGAAATATATGTTGACAAGCAATTAACAATAATTGAGAGTAACTTGCCTATAAAGAAAGGTTTTATACAAATTTTACAAGTGTCTAGCGAGGGACAATTCAGAATGTCATTTCTGTGGCACTAACGTCGAATATAGAACTCAGATTATTTGCATATTTTTCATCTTTTTACAAAGAAATAAACATGTACGTGTATAGCGCAGTGTTAAGCATAAAAAGGAAAAAGAAAAATAAACCTTAACCCTTAAACCCATAAATTGCTTAAACTATAATATAGACAAAGTTTAAAATGTTTGCGTTATACAAGAATATTATGAGACTGAACAATTTTCATTTTTTTTTTAGGGAAAAAACACAGGCGGCCAATAAAAGTCCAATCATACAAAGAATACACGAAATAATGACGATCGCAAGACCGGCAGTGCGCCTCTAGCATCTCATACGCTTCTAGTTGTCGTCGCATTGAATTATTTACGTCTGGCATAGAGAAATACCACCATCACCATTACCAACATCTATCGAAAGCCATAAGATCTTTCTGGTATTTTCCGTAAACTTCTCTTACACTACCTTGGAATGAAATTGGGAGATAAATGTAGTCATTACATTCGTGGATTATTCGTTGTTTACGTGTTTGATAATTCTGGGAGGCTTAAGAGGTCGTCGTCGAAATCGTAAACTCTTGAGATGTGAAGCAATCTTATTTGCCTTTTAACGATAGTAGCAAAAATAAAACTTTACGTACGAGGTGAGCATAACGGTCGATACGCATGAGATAAATTAATGTATTTTCCATAAAAGCGATCATTTTTACAAAACGATCAAAATCGCCATGTTTCTTCTCAGAAGTTCTTAATACTTTTAGATGTTGTAGGTCTGGTTAAGATAGAACCATAGATCTTAATAACATCTTTAATATATATAAATTACGTGTCACATTGTTTGTCCGCGATGGACTCCTAAACTACTAAACCGATTTTAATCAAATTTGCACACTGTGTGCAGTTTGGTCCCACTTGAGAGATAGGATAGTTTTTTGTTTGCCCGTGAGTGACCCACAATTTTTTTTTGCGATTTTAACATGACAAAGGGTCATCGAAGAAGGCAGAACAACGTCTGCCTGGCAAGCTAGTAGCTTATAATTATATATCTTCTATATTATGTATATATACGTATCCGTTTTCTATATTATGTATATCTTGTATATACGTACTTGTTAATTGGTATTAAAACGCTTAAACATTTCCGTATATTCTAATATATATGATAACATTTTAAATAAGTAATTTCCATCCAGCTTCTGAAGTAGGAACTTTACGAGTACCTGTAATTCTTCGTTACACTATGTCTTAGCACCGACTTCAAAAGCTATTATGTAAAAACTATTTTTTTTATTTTTAAGTAGAATTTACTTTTTATGAGAAGTTTATGTAAGCAAGAAACTATTTTTTACTCTTGATAAAATAAGTAATTTCCATAATTTTAACACGCGTAATAAATCTCGACTTGTTGTACCAAAAAACAAGTTTTATGTAGAACTTGCAGCTCATTTTGGGTAGACGTATAGCTATAATAAGTATATATGTCGTATCGGTCCGTAAAAACTCTGGTGGTAGTTGATACAACAAGGAAATTGTGCGAGGAATAAAAGTTATTTTTAATCGCACAGTAGTGGACAGTCAGTCACCCAGATGGTATGAGTGGTATCGCAAGTTTTGTAGCGATGTGAGATGGTGAAATTTTGCGGCTGAATTTAGTTCGAACAATTCCACAGAGCACTCCCCGTGGTAAATGCGATAAAATAAGCTAAGCGATGCAACATCTCTTCACAATGCCAGTGAGTCAAGCAGTGACTCGGTCGCGATAACAGTTCTGCGCTGAATGCGATCAAATGGAAGGAACTGGCACTGGGGAGTCCCAGCCCAGAGATGAGAACAGTATTCCATGTGTGGCCGAACCTGCGCCTTGTAAATTTGCAAGCGGTGTGCCGGCATGAAATACTGTCCCGCTCTGCTGAGCACGCCAAACTTTTTAGAGATCAATTTGGCCTTCTCTTCCAAGTGACCACGAAACTACACGTCATTCGATATGTTGACGCCGATAGTGGCTGAGTCAACAAAGGGAGTGCCTTGAAACTATGGAGATACGACAAAGGAGTTCTTTTTAGCGGTAAACGCACTAGCTTGTGTTTTCTGGGGTTTGAACTGGACCAAATTTAGTCGCCTCTAGTCCGAGACTTTGTTCAACAAAGTCCCGACTTCAGACACAAGTTTGTCCCGGTACTCAACGATATTTTTCCGAGAAATATTGGCACGGCCAGTGTATAAAGTACCACCAGTGCTGTCGTCTGCATTGCAATGAATGTCACCGATTTGCAATATGTCATTGATATTCAGAAGAAACAGCATTGGTGATAGCACGCAGCTTTCTGGAACACCAGCGTTAATGGGCTTGTAATCAGAGCATGCACCGTCTACTACGACCTTGATATTCCAATCTGTAAGAAAACTGATGATCTAATTGCACAATTTCTCGGGAAGCCCATAAGGAGGAAGCTTCGTAAGAAGCGCATTGTGCCAAACCCGATCGAACGCCTTCGCTATGTCCAAACTTACGGCCAACACCTCCTCCTTGGATTCTACTGCCTCTGCCCATTTATGAGTTAGGCATCCCAGAAGATCACCAGCCGAGCGACCAAAACCGTACTGGTGGTCACTAATCAGCTGGTGATCCTCAAGGTACCGCATGAGCTGGCTGTTACATTATTTTAGAGAGCAAGGAGTGATGGCGATATATCTGTAGCTGGACGGGTCTGAGCGGTTACCTTTTTTAGGAATCGAATGCACGAAAGATGTCTTCCATGATTTCGGGACTACGCCTAGGGGGTAGGAGTACCGGAGAAGACACGTTAAAACCGGTGCCAACTCCGGAACACACGTCTTCAGCACAATAGGAGGGACGCCATCAGGTCCACTCGACTTGTTGACGTCCAGAGAGAGGAGTGCTCTGCCCACCGAGCGTTGGGTGAACAGTACATCCTGCATGGAGCACTCACACAGCGGGATGTTTGGCGGTGTTTTGCCCCCGTCATCAAGAGTCAAGTTTAACGCAAAGAGAGAGCCCAGCAGATCGACTTTACCCTTTATTTTCTCAAGAATTCTGCCAATATGCTCTGACTTTCCCTTGATAATGACACTTTTGACGGACCTGGAAGCGGATCAGGGAACTATGAGTTGTTATCAGAAATATGTGGACCCAGGGGACGATATGTAGTAGTGAATATTCTTACACCGCTACTACACGGCATTTCCCCTCATAACTGCGATTTTATACGCGCAAACATGTATCATCTACGCATTCTACTAATATGCTTATGTATTTGTTGTTTATTAAGTGTACATCTAATTATTACTCCTTATTGGTGATTTGTTTGTTATAAGTTGGACGCTACGCTATAAGTTAGATGCTCCTCATCTCTTGGTTTGATTTTCTTCATTAGCACCACGGATTAATATTTGAGAATGAGCGTTTGCTTACATGTAAAACTGCTACTTTTAGAAATTGGCTATAGTGATTTTATTAAATATAAAAAACGAGAAGGAACACTAACACAAGCGAATTTAGAAAGGAATCAAATTTGCACGATTCTGAAAATATTAAAAAGTAAATTAAGTAACTTTATCAATACTTTGTAAACACTACTTTAAAAACCAACTAACGAATAAGTTATTAGGAATTCTTTTATAATGATACGACTCGCAAAAGTTAATAAAAACATCAGGCTTATTCATCAGTGTTTCCTCTTACGATTCATGTACTTTGTTTCACGTGTTATTACTTAATAAAATCAATAAACCCAATTTAATGTTGGAGTGTAACGTGACCTTGAAAAGTCGACGATAAAGTTCAACCAAATAAAAATAATTCCATTTTATAACTAAAGAACCATTAAATCAACACACAGTAAGTTGATGTAGGTTCAACTTAAAATGCTAACATTCACAAAATTAGCACTGGCGGAACAAAAGAGTTTTCATTCACCAAAAACATAGTTGACCTCTTTTTAGTTGCTACTTGTAGTTCTTAAATCTTACAGCAATGCATACAATATTTTTTGTAAATAATAAGGGTGACAAGCGTGCACTCGATCCACTTGACAATGAGTGGATGCTGTGGACCATAGATATCTATAGGTATTTATCCTTGATTACGAAATAAAATGCAGATTGCGATGTCACCCTTGAGAACTAAGATCGAACGCCTTGTTGCCAGTAAAAAGGGTCTACGATTCTCATCACTCACCCTACGAAAACACAGCAGCATTGAGCTGCTATTTGACGCTATTATTTTGTGAGAGCGTGGTCCATCCCCGATTAAGCCGACCCATTCGTGATACAACCATAATATTGCTTCAGTGTGGCTCTAAGCTGTGGAAGAGGTCTTGAGTAGCTAAAATCCGACAGATTCACGTAGATTTGGTCGCACGAAAAACAACTATACCTATATGTTATCTCATAGCGAATGCTCTGTGAATGAAAGCTGAACTTTATAAAATTGGTAACTGAACACAACCAACACTCAGCAAGAAAAAATATAAACATTACAAGTGAAAATCACTTAAAAAAACTAACTGAAAGACAATGATAGCTGCATATCTTCGTCTTTTTCCTCATATTTATATATTTGATAATAATAATTCACAACTTCCAAATTTTTAAAATAAGATATTGTTTTCACGTCTAATCGTTTGGTCAGCGCACTGATAAAGCAGTCGAGGCTTCTTCTTCAGACTTGTATACGCTACTAGCCTAACGCACGCGAGACACACTTTAAAATTGACATATATTTTACTTGTGA